AGGATCTCCCCAACAGAGCAAAAGCATACAGATCGCGATCCCCAAGGATATATCGTGATCTTTCACGCTCAAATGCGATGGCATAAACGAACAAAGGTATGCAAAATATTTTACAAATTTCACCTATAAACTGTCTAGACATACAACATGCAGGTATAGTGTTCAAGCGCCATACGATGTACACACCACATCCCCAAAATACAAAGCATACAATTGCGACGTTATGCAAACATGGTGTTTAAGCGCCATACGGTGTACACACCATAGCGCGGTCTCATTCACTTTACAAGATTCTATGCTTAAAGGAGTCCTTTATAACGAAGCACGACATGCATATGATCGCGGTGCGACATACAAAACACCTCAGCTGGGTTACAAACCCATCCGCGTTATAACTATCACCCAGCATACAAAGAATGTGAAGAGCAATATGAAGAAGGATGAGAAGGGTAATACCCTATTACAAGGAATGCAACTTTCACACGATTATCAACAGTCTACAGTGAGAGTACAATGCAAGCATTTATTCAGCAACATACATATATTCGGCAAAACAAACCCGAATGTTATAAACTTCAAAATTTGCGGGATCAGTACTACTTCCACGCATCACTGTTGTGGGGACATCCCCCTTACAAATTTGCAAATATTAAAGCAAGTCAAGAAGTAAAAAGAAGAAGAAATTTAACTAAAGATATCGGAAGATCAGCAGCAAATTTAGACGGTCTGAATCGACATATCTTGAGGAGTGTCAGCTTCAACAGTGCGCTCATCATTAACAGCAGGAGGATATTGAGGCAATGGTACTTGCAAGGATGGCGCGGTCGTGTTTGTATCCATCGCGCTAATCAGCTCCATTGGGACCTCTTGATTTTGCTCATTTAGGGTCACCAATTGGCCATCCTTGAAGTAATGGTAGAAGTGGACATTCTCCAGTTTGGCTGAGGGGTTGAAGAAACGCACTTGTTCGATCACGTTCATAAAGGTAGCTTCTGCTTCCTTCTCGAACAAACCCTGGTACCTCTTCACCTCAGCGGTCAAGTGGGCCTTCTCATCAACCCAGGTATCAGCGTTCCCCTCAAGCTCCAGTATGCGCTTCTCCAGATCAATTTTCTTCGCCCCCAAGCTTCGATTGATAGTCGTCAGCTTCTTCATGTCAGCATCCTTCTTCTCCATTTCTGCCGTCAGCATGGCAACCTTGTCCTCAGATTTCTTCAACTTGGCATCAGAAGCAACGCGTTGTTGGGCATTCTCAGTCTTCAACTCCTCAATACGTTCCTTCAGTAAATCTACCGAATCTGTCATATACACAAAAAAGTTATACATACAACCGCGATATTATAGTATTCAAGCAAGCAAGTAACATGGAAAACCAAATATACTTACCAGGTGCGGTCAGGATAAATTGGCCAGCCGCGATCAGACCCTGGGCAAGCTCCCGCCATTGATCCCACGGCAGAGCTTCCAGGTGCAAGCCAAAATCCCTACCCTGAGCCCGCAGGTCACTCACGACTCTCCAGTCGAAATCCGGCCACCATGCAGCTGACCCCTCGGACATTGCGTCAAAGGTTCTTTTCTTCCCTCTCACAATGTCCTCTCCCACTACTACTGGAGGGGTAACCTCTCGAGGAGGGGAAGGAGGGGTACGCAGTCTCAAGGGAGACTTCAACTGCACTGCGGCTTGACCACTTGACTCAGCAACAGCAGCCGCAGTCTTGATCGGTTGTGCGGAGGATGAAGAGCTAGCAAGAGTTGCGTGATTGGGAGCGATTTGCTCCATTTTGCTCACGGGCGCCATCCTTATACTTTCTGCACAATAGAAACAAAGAAATGGATTGTCAGGCATACTTAGTCAATACATACAGGTTACGCTACATAAAGATTAAGACATATCAGAACACGAATGATTCAAATTACCCAGATAAGCTCGAACATTAGTTTCAGTATACTCGTTCAAAATGGTATATGTATCCAGAGAGCCTTCACCGGCAGCTTCACGAGTGATCTTACCTAAAGCGATCACTGTCTGTTGTTCTAAATCACTCAGATCCGTAAAGTTATAGCTTAACACGGAACTCGATGACGGGTATTCCGACCAGTACAAAGGGAAGATAGGAGCCTGGTCCTCGCCTAGGAAAAGCGGCGTAGTACCTTTGGCGGGATAGATCTTGAAATACTCAGCGTTCCATTTGTTAATCTTCCTGCAGTATGACCCGCAGAATTTTTGTTTAACCCTAAAAGATATCCAGCTATTGCGAGGGGGCATCACACTGAACATATACAAAAAGGACAGAACTGACTGGAAAAGGCCATAGGCCTTGCATACCATCTCATATATTCTAATAAAACCCCAAGCATTGGGGGTCAGCTGCGAGGGCGCCACATTCAAATGCGCTAACAGTTTACAAACAAAAGAAGAAAACGGAAGACGGACACCTATGGACAAGAAAAAATAAGAGTACATCATCATATAATGCCTGGTTGACCCCTCGGCCCGCGATGAGCAAACACGCTCATTCTTCGGGACGACTCCAACCTCCCATTGATTGTCAAAAGCTTTATCTGGGGTTAGATGCAGGGCCGCGGTTACCTCCGCCAACTCTCCAGGAGAACAATATATCGACTCAATCTTCAAAACTGAGTCGGACACCCACCCCGGGGTATCAACATCCCGGATGCTTTGCCTGTTCAGGGACCGCGTCTCTGAAGGTTCTTCCTCAGGATTAATTTGTACGACTTTCTTCTTCCCACTAGACTACGTTGAGACGATCTTCTTATCGCGGGCATTACGTTTCGCCATTATCTCCTTGATACGAGAGGACACAAAATCTGATTCAGAAGAAGAGGAATCAGTGGAAGAAGACAAATCAGTGGAAACAGGTTTATAATTATCAAATTTCCTTTTCTTAAAAGGATATCCAGCTGGATAAATCACATTCAACGGCAAAGGACTAGGACTCTTCGGTCTTGAAGATTCACGCGCGATGGAGCAAGAAGAATCGCACGATGAACTCGATAAAGGCAATTTGGGGCTTTTTGATTCTGCCGATTTATAGCTATTACCTGAATGGGAAGAAGAATCACTCGATAGCACAATAGGCTTGAACATATTTCCAGGAAATCGGGGAAAACAGACGAACTATGGGCTGACAATGCCTTCTCGCAAGGAGGTTGTCGCGAGGTTGACCCTAACTCAAGGGTACGACTTAAGGGAACATGCCTAGCACAGGCTTTGGAACAGGGAGCTAGAATTCCTACAGTAGGCCTTGTCTCCCTGGTTCCCAAGGACTTTGATCTTGGTAACAGTCCCGACAGCGGACTAGACGAGCCAGACCAATCTGATAAAATCCGCACAGTTATACTTCTCCGGCATACCCCAGAAAAGCAGACGCAAAATGTTGAACTAGATCACAGAAATGCAGAAGAAACAGAGGATATGAAGCAAACACGCACCTGAGATTTATACTTTCGAATTTCGCAACAGAGAGCAGGACGTGTCACCACCGGAAATGCAGAATAGAGCTCTGAGAGACGAAGCAAGCTTTCCACTACAAGTGACCAAATGATCTTCCCTCCAAAAGAAAAGGCGCAAATACGAAGAGTTTTTCTCCAACGGATACTCCAAAAGCCGTGAAACGTATTAAACACAACACCGGTTAGTGGGACACGTGACGTGCAGGGGAAGCGTTTTATTCGTAAAACGCCCACGACTGTCCTTAAACCCCCCACGTAATCACTGCTGCATTTAATGCTCTTGATTGATTAGACATCTAATCCACCGCTCTTAAGCGGTCGAAGGTCATGATGACACTACAAGGCATCATTACCGCGGACAACAACGTCATGTGACTCAGAACACTACCGCGCCTTATACACAAAGACATATAGCTCACAGCCTTGTCACATAGACAACACCGCAAGCTAGGGGGCATCTGATCCGGATATAATATAGGCCTAATCAGGGCCCAATAAACACATGAAAGCCTAAGCCCATATAAGACCCAGAATAAAGGCATAAAGGACAGGCACAGACGCGATAATCCTATCGCGGTACACTAGCGCGATGACCCTATCGCGTCCTACATGGCGCAATACCTCCTCACGACATGCAGGATGTACTTGTTCCCCACGCAACAGGATACCTTCTACAGACAGTAAACTTAAGGGCCAAGGCAACACCACCGCGCCCTCACACCAGTAAACTACGGACAGCTCCAGCTCGCTATGACTCTACTACTAGACCCCATGGCGGCAAGCTCCTCAACATTTAAACACTGACAGCCACACTACGTTGATACCAAGGAACCTTTGCCTTCACCATAAAAAAGGCATCCTACAAGCATACACCTCGACTACTATATAAACATACGTTGTACCACCAAGGTACGATCATCCTTTACTTTCACAATATAAACACCTGCCTCTGATACTGACTTAAGCATCGGAGTGTCTTCGCAAGTACCCCCCCCCCCCCCCATCTGGAGCAACATGAAGGACGAAGGACAAAGAGCTCAGGCTCATCCCCCAACAGCAATACCAGGCCTAGGCCAGTAACCTCTTAAAGAGTCTCAACCGTGTGTGATTTGAGCTTAATACGTATTGGGCCATCCCATCCGTATCTGGTCCGATCACTACCGAAAGCAATAAAATGTTTGGATGCTTAGATTTAACAACAGAAAACTTCACATTACACAAAACAAGAGATAACTATAGTTTATAATTAGTACCTTTTTTTTTGTAAATATAATTAGTACCTTTAGTAATTAATGTATAATTACGATACTTAGAAGGAGGATAAGTTCAATGAATAATTTTATTAATAGCGTGAAACCACACTTTTTCCTGAAGCATCTTTTTTAATTTCTTCTATTTAAACATTTAAGTTAGTCTCTCTCTGAATTCTACAGATACCAGATAAACAAGGCTGTTGCTCAGAACATGGCAAGGTGGATCTGAAAAATTCAGATATATCAGTAACCACCCACAAATTGGATCATACACCAGAGACAACCCAGTGGTTCATCTATATCGCTTTAAAAAAAAAAAAACTGTTTTCTTCCAAGTCATAGTTGTAAAAACAAATATATATCAGCTATTTACCTTTTATTAAAGACTTCAAACATGAAATACCCTACATTAGAACTGTTCTAATGTCAAACTACCATTGAAAATGCTGTCCATAGAAACCACCCCTTGAGACAAGGAGGGAAGGCTAGAAACTTCATATATAAAAAGCTCTGGGATCAGGTAAAATGAAAATGATGAATCAAGCCATATTGACAGGAAGCTCCATAACTAGAGGGTTATCTATATATCACACTTTCAGGGTTGAAAAAACTACTCTTTATGTTCGCCTCCTGATACGCCTGCCATTTGGATTAACTGATTCAGCAGCTGCCCCATCTGCCAAATCTTGACCATATATGCTACTTCCACTTCTCTTCCTGCTCAAAGGCTGGCTTGGGTTATCATCAACTGATGCAAATGTCTCCAGCAATTCCAACAACATTGAGGGGCAGCTCTCTTTCAAATGCACAAAAGCTTCGGACTGCATTACAGCTGCACAAGGAATAATAGATAATACACCAGTGAATCTTTTTTAAGTTGAAATTTCAAGGGTTCATGAAGGCACAAAAAGTAAGGGGATAGACTCGTAAAGAGTACGCCGCGAGCAAAAATTAAATGACAAGTCAGCAAAAACCTGAGAAAAATTAAGTTTCTGAAGAACAAACACAAGGAAACATTTACTCCAAAATCAAAGCAATTTAGTGAGTTCTGAAAGTAGAAGCAAGGAAAGAATGGCAGAAACCTCAAATTATCCCCATTGAAGAATAGTTTCAAGTACCCGAAATTCAGTACTTGTGTAAAGGATTTTCAAAATCCACCAAATTTGTGCATAGACTTGACATTTCAAGCATTGGAATTTAGGATTACCTTCTGAAAATGCTCCGTCTAGACGCATGATGAGATATCATAGAAAGACAAAATGGAAAATGAAAAGCTTAAAAGAGGTGGAGAATTTTCATTCGCACATCAAATTGAACTGCCATGCCCATGGCAATTGCATGATAAGTTTACTTCACAAACCAACTATTCAAAACCAATCAATAGACAAATTATAAAATGTGGAGTCGTGATAGACATAACCATTTCCTTTTATCTTTGTGATATCAATTATTTATTATAAAATAATTATTAATAGATAGTTTAAAAAGAAAAATGTAATGACACTGGTTAGTCATAGGTTATGTGATAAAAAAGGCAGTGAATAACAGAGATTAAAGAAGTCAACTGAATTTAAATGAAAAAGAAAACAAATATCAATTGAATAAGAGAGATGGAACACAAATAAATTATTCCTATATATATATATATATATATATATATATAGAGAGAGAGAGAGAGAGAGAGAGAGATTACGTGAAGTGTAAAATTGACAGAAGCTCCAAAAATAAGAGGGTAACACCAAATAAACAAAATAACTTGCTCAAACTACTCCAGAGTTTGAGGGAGTCCCATAGGTTAAAAGAATTGCTCTTTAATAAACTCTGGATATTAAAGCTATGTACATCCTTCTCACTGAATAAGCAAGGAAATAACTTTATTTAAAAAAACAGCGTAGTAATCTTGCTATGAGAAATACTGTCCTTATATATCGTAAATATCACAGCACAGAACATTGCCAATTCCAAACATATCACAACGTCATAAACCGTAAACAACAACACATCTCTCTGCATGATTGTTATTTCAATTGACGAGCTTTGAAGTTTTCTGCCACACCACTGGATGGCACATATTTTCATTTTTATTTTTTTGGGGGTTCACAAAATATATACTTCAGCTTACTTCAATTGTTCCCTTCTTTCCATCGTTCCCTCTTTCATAAGTTAAAAGCTCAAACAGAGTTATGAAGCTCATGCTAAACTTTTTTTTTTCTAAAAGATGAATGGAAATAAAAATCAAATAAAAAGTCTAAAACCAAGATAACAGAAAGAAGTACCAAGAGCACACTATATTACCAAAACAAAGCCCCGCATTATTATCAGAATCACAACATACACCATAACCCACTTTCAAAAGATTGCCTCTAAATAGCATAAGCAATCTGCATCTCAGTTTCAATAATGGTTGTTTTTCATTTTAAAAAAAAAATGATGTCTGTTCTTAGAATACAGATAAAACATTATATACATGAATAAATTGTGGCCACAGTCCCAATGGTTCAGAGATCCTCTATGACTCACTAGCATCCCTATTTCCCTTTGTTATTGTCCCCAGAAGCTCCATGACACTACTTTTAAAGTCTGGACCCCTAGGTGTGTGTGAGATTTTAAAATAAAACTACTAAAAAAGAGATTTCTATAAATTTATGCTGTAATAATATACCACAAAAACATACACATAAATCCCTAGATCTTTCTTCTTCTTTTTTCCCTAGGCAAACCAAAAGCCCCAAAAAAGATGCAGTTATAGTCAAGCTACTTCTCAGTTCAATTAGCATCCAAATGGTGAACTATGTATATATAGTTCTTTTAACTGTTATAGTCATCCAATTAAGACACGGAAAAATAAAAAATAAAAATAAGTGAATAATTCTTCCCACTAGCTAATACCTTAAAACCAAGAATCACAAACAAAAGAATAAAAATGGTAATACCAACTGGAGTTCTAACACAGTCTTGTCATTCATAGCAATATTTGACCATATAGCATACCAAACATCTATCCTAACAACTTAAAGAAACTAAGAAACATAAAAAAGTAATTAATTCGGAATGTGTGAGGAAACATCAAAAGTGCAGTACATATCATGCTAAAAGAATCTTAAGTTGAAACAACCAAAAGCTTTTACATTCATATTCTAAAGTAATACGCACCTCCCAAGATTGTTGGATTAGCAATAAATTTTAAACAGACCGCCTTAAGCTGTGGACAGTGGTGTTGCTCAGCCAGGGCAAGTGTTGTCGCCACGGTGTCAGTATTGATTTCTTCACATAATTTTGATTCACACAACAGTTTTAGCCGGTCAAGATTATAGAGATCAGCAGCAGCCAAGAGATGCTGCACCATGACAGTATATGAGCACACGGGTATTGAGCCCATAACCTCATACATGCCAGGAAGTCTGTCTGAATAAATGAAAAGAAGCATTGCCTGGAAAAACAAGATAAAAGGATTTTCACTCAATCATTCTGCTTAGTATGGAAGTATGAAAGAATAATTCAGTAAAAAAAAGTTACCAAGCAGATAACACAATGAGGACTGTGGCTGTAGGAATAACATATTAAAAAACAAGCCACAATCTCCAAGTATCAGAATGGAATGAGATCGTAATTAACATAAACAGCTCTCGGTATTGAACAAAAGACTCGAGCGTAATTGTCATTTTTTAAAGATACAACATTCTCCATACTAAATGGTTGCAGCTTAGAACCTTTTTTCTTTATTTTGGTAAAAACAGGTTAAACCATTTTATTCCACCACAAACAACTATATTGGTAAGATACACTCAGTTACAACTGATTGCTTCACAAACAAAGCAGACACAAATGCAGGACAAGCCTGAAACAAATATGATAAAAATAAATAAATTAAAGTTTCACAGTTCATATATTACAAATGAAAGTAAGAATGCTATTTCTTATGCTGCAAGAATGTGCTCAATCATTTCACTGCTCAGATATTAAAAATGGGAGTAATTAAAGTTGAGAACTACCTTGAAGATAAAGGGCTCAATATCCTCTACCACTACTTCCTCTAAGCAAGGATCCCCAACAAGCCCAAAAAACTGCGCTCTAAACACTGGAGATCGGGCGGCAAGAATCAACTTATGAGCTTTGAAGCTTTCACTCTTGACCTTGAAAACTATGTCACAACCAACTTCAGATTCCAACAAGTCTTTAAAATCTTGGCCCATGTCTGACTGCGTCATGATAACACCCTGTTTGGATCCCTCAAAACGAGTTTTGACAACACCAACAGTGCAATGCATGACAAGGCAATCATCTTTCAGATACTCCGAAGTTTCCAATAGTGTTCTTCTGAAAAAACGCTTGTAACCCCTGAAACAAACACAGAAAGGTCAATGGCAGGAAACTCCCAAGACCATAGACAATAACTTTCTATCCACTATCCCCAAAAAATTAAAAAAGCCAAATATAGATAACTAAAATTACGATAACTATTTTTAAATACATTGCTCCTTTCACAGACATTATTTTCACTCAAACCCCATGTCAGATAGCACTCCATTTGAAGCCCTAAACCCCAAAGAACCCATTATTCCAAATTTATAATTGTATTGCTAATGATGAAAAAAAACAAAAAACAAAGAATAATGAGAAAATTCAAGGTACGACACACTGCCTCTATACTTCAACGTATAAGCTACACTCTCGACGGGGCGATCAATGATATGTTAATTGTAAGAAGCACCAAAACCAGAGACAACAACCTTCTGCCCACCAGGCCAAAAAATTAAAAAGAAAAATTGGGATAATTAGAATTATGATAACTATATCTAGGAGTAAGGTTACCAAATTGCAATTCAAATTTCGAATTGCCCAGCTAATTTATAATCGTAAATCGTATTATAAAATAATGAAAAATAGCTTGAAATATATCATATAATATAACTGATGTATAATGCTCCATTAAATAATTTTAAACTATGAACAAGGAATTGACAAAACAAATAAACCATAGGCCTCGCAAAACAAAATCATAAGTCAAAAGACATAACTGAGTCACATAAAGTGATTACATAAAGTCTATGTTTTAGAAGAACTAAAACAAAGTAATGGTATAGCCAAATAAGGTACATATAAAGTGAGGGAGCGACTGTGTAAAACCTCTGTTTCATAAGAATAAAAAAACATAGGAATGGAATAGCCAAATAGAATACATACACTGAGTGCCTCACTCATGCACTTACAGTTGACCCATTGTACATGGCTCAACCATTGATTCAAGAAGCTCGTAGTCAACTAGAGTTGTGGCCCAATAAGTATGACCCAATTGTTGAAAGAGGCAATGATTTGAAATATAACAAATTACAATCAAATCCAAGTCCCAATGAAGCAGCAGATGTGATTGTGATTTGTTTGGGAAGAAAAGGAAAGCAACATATTTGGCGTGATTTGAGATTAAAGATTTGGGATGTATTTTGAATTATTTATTTGTAATTATTTATTTATTTTTAGATATTAATTACTTTTGTATTTATTTTAGGAAGTTTTATTATTTTTAGGATTTAGATTTTTGAATTTTGAATCAATTTGTAATTAGTCTATAAAAGGGTTCTTATGACCCTTATTCTAGGAGTTGAATTTTGTTATATGATAATTAGAAATTGAGAACCTGAGGGTTACTCTTTTATAAAAATCCTAACTTTCTGTTTAGACACTTTTCTATGCGCTTTCGGCATCATTTGGTATCAGAGCACAAGGTTGCCTTCAGCCAATGGCTGAACAGAATGGTGGAGGTCGACGACGGCAGAGTCACGAGGGTAGGGAACGTGGATTCGTTCTTGAAGAATATAGACAACTGCGTCAGATTGACCCGCAAGATATAGAAAATGAAGAGCTCGGAAGGCGGATCCAGGATTTGAAGCAACAACTTGAGCAAGCGTTGGACAAGAAAATCCAAGTTTTGAAGCGACTATGTGTGAGGGCACAGAGAAAAAGAATTCAAGATTTGGAGCGACAACTCGTGCGGGTATGCATGAAAATTCAAATTTTGAAGCAAACTCTTGTGGAGATGCGGAGCATGGAAATCCAATATTTGGAGTGACGACTTGCGTGGACAAAGTTGGGCATTCAATCCGAAGAAGGAATGGAATTAGATGACGCATCTGATGATGAAGAAGAGGACGTCAATCCCTTGGGGATTCTAAACCAGGGACATAATTGGGAAGTACGACCTGAAAATCAGTCCACTTTTCAAGATATCGAGATGCAAATCAGCATTCCTGACTTTGAAGTCTATGATTGTAATCCAGTTTGTGATGATGATCCGATCTATGATAATAATCCAATTTATGATGATTATCCGATTGTTGATAATTATACCATTTATGATGATTATCCATCTTATGATGAAAATTCAGTTTATGATGATAATCCAGTCTATAATAAATCTGATGGAGAATCAGATTATGAAGATCTAATAGAGGAAAATTTATCATTTGAGTTTTTGTCTAAAGAAATTTAAGATTAGTGAAGATAAACAAGATTCGAGGACGAATCTTTTCCTAGTAGGGGAGAATGATGCACTTACAGTTGGCCCATTGTACATGGCCCAACCATTGATTCAAGAAGCTCGTAGTCAACTAGAGTTATGGCCCAATAAGTATGACCTAATTGTTGAAAGAGGCAATGATTTGAAATATAACAAATTACAATCGAATCCAAGTCCCAGTAAAGCAGCAGCAGATGTGATTGTGATTTGTTTGGGAAGAAAAGAAAAGTAGCATATTTGGCGTGATTTGAGATTAAAGATTTGGAATGTATTTTGAATTATTTATTTGCAATTTTTTATAATAATGCCGAAGCAGTAACCAATTGGCTAAACAGAAAGAAGAATGAACATAAGGATTGTGAGAAAACACTATTTCTCTTTTCTTAATTTTCTTTAACCAAAAACAACCAAATAACAATAGGGTTCTCCAAGCCTTAAATAGGCAAAAATAAAATAACAAAAAAAGTAAATAACTATAATCATGCGCAATCAAAGGAGATAACCACCGAAGCACGGACACGCGGTTTGAAATTTTTTTTGCGTGTCGGACCCGTTTCAACACGCGTCCGACACGTGGTCAACATTTGGAGACACGCGGTCAACTCTCCGACACGTTTTTCGGACACGCGGTCAACTTTTTAGGACACGAAGTCAACGTTAGGACACGCTCGGACACGTTTTTTTTTTTTAATTTTAATTTTATTTTGTTAACTAAATATAAAAGAAATAATTTATAAATTAATTTTTTTCTGTTATGAAATTTGACATGAAAAATTAACAAAGTACAAAAAATTATTTATATTTATATTTATGTTATGAAATTTAAATATTTGATTGGTTATATGACTTATTATCGACTCTTATATGTATTAAATATAAATTATATTATATATTAAAATTTTTATTTAATATCAAAACGTGTCCCAACGTGTCCCAATATGACATTGTTTAGAATTAACGTGTCGGCGTGTCGTGTCGTGTCCCGTGTCCGTGTCCGTGCATCATAGGAGATAACGCACACTCAAAGATAATCTAAAATAACAAAAAGAAAATAACTAGCAATTATTAAAATTCCTTAAATAAAGAAATAAATAATGGAAAAGTCTAATCCAAACGAGTCAGCTCGGGTGCATCATTCTCTCCCACTTGAAAAAGATTCGCCCTCGAATCTTCTGTCTTCATTGATATGAACTTCTTCAGGTGGCAACTCTTCTGGTATAATATCACCAGATTTCCTAACTAAGATTAGGACTTGAAAATGTAATTCTTTGATATGCTTGGTATATGCATTTGTAGTTTGGATCAATGATCGCATCTGTGATCCGTCATGGGAAAATTTCGTCTGATGTAACAGCAATTCCAATGGCCCCTGACGATCTCCAATTAAACTTTTACCAAAAGTTAAATCTTTATCTCCATGGAGCATCAAGTTGTTATGCTCGTTGTGACCCAAATTCATAATACTGGGGTAAAACTTCATCTTTGTCAGAGATATTAGAATTTCTAATAACTGATTTTCCACAGAAATCAATATAAGAGATTTCTTCCACCTCTGGATTCTCATCGTCTTTCTCCCAATCATACTTTTCATAGATAGGGAACTCGTCATAAACTAGAGCATCATAATAGGATTCTCATCGTCTTGATGATCATCATATTCATCATAGATCAGGACCTTCTGGTCTTCTGTCAAGTCTCTGATGTCAAAGACCCTTTCGACGGTGTGTGACCCGTCGATAAACTCATCTGTATGAGTGGTGCCCTCGAATTCCGGGATCTTAATCTTCACCCCCAATATTAGCAAAAAAGGATTAATTTCGAGGTTGACTTCGTCCTCGTTGCTCCTGGTTCTAGTTCCAGAATGGGTTTTCGCTCCTTTCCTCCTCATGAGATGATCTTTCAGATTCCCTTCCTTCATCTTACTCGTCCAACTGTGTTTGGGCAAACAGTTGTTCGAGCTCCTGAATTCGCCTACCATGTTCTGCCATTGTAGCAGCCATTGCTACAATTATGGTGTGTCGCACGTCGATGTGTGGTTGTTCGCCGTCGCCATAAAGGGTGTTACCACGCCCTCTACAGCCGTCGTCGCCTCTACCCTGTCGTCCACGACCTCGACCTCGACCGCGATTGTTCTGTTCAGCCATTTAAGTGACAACCAGAGCTCTAATTACCAAATAATGCCGAAGCAGTAACCAACTGGCTAAACAGAAAGAAGAACGAACATAAGGATTGTGAGAAAGCACTATTTCTCTTTTCTTAATTTTCTTTAACAAAAAACAACCAAATAACAATAGGGTTCTCCAAACCTTAAATAGGCAAAAATAAAATAACAAAAAAAGTAAATAACTATAATCATGCGCAATCAAAGGAGATAACGCGCAATCAACGCACACTCAAAGATAATCTAAAATAACAAAAAGAAAATAACGGGCAATTATTAAAATTCCTTAAATAAAGAAATAAATAATGGAAAAGTCCAATCCAAGCGAGTCAACTCGGGTGCATCATTCTCTCCCACTTGAAAAAGATTCGCCCTCGAATCTTCTTTGTCTTCATTGATATGAACTTCTTCAGGTGGTAACCCAGGTGGCAACTCTTCTGGTACAATATTAGGTGTTCGCGGTCTGGATTTGATCGGTTTTGGAAGCAAAATTCATCCGATCCAATCCCTTCGGTTTGATCATTTAATCATCCATTCAGTTTAGATTTTTTTCAAATCCGATCCGATCCAATCCAATTTTTTTCGGTTTGAATTGGATCGGTTTTCGGTTTTTTGAATATCCTAAAATTAGTTTCATGATTATTGTGCAAATAACATCTTTTGTATATATTGGCTTTGCAAAAAAAAAAAAAAAATTCGAAATACAAAAATATCAATAAACAATACTATAGTTGATGAGACGTGACTAAATTTTTTCTTGGGTTTAGTTGATGAGTTAATGGGTCATGGGTTTAGAAATTTTTGGGATATAATTAAGAAAAGGACCAAGTAGGTAGAGGAGAATTAATATATTGGATCGGTTTGGATTGGATCGGTTTTCATCAACCTAACCGAAAACCGATCCAATCCAATTAAAATTTACGGTTTTTTTTCGATTTTTGGTTTTTCGGTTTATTCGGTTATCGGTTTTTCGGTTCGGTTTTCGCGGTTTGAATCGGTTTGGATCGGTTGATGAACACCCCTATACAATATCACCAAATTTCCTAATTAAGATTAGGACTTGAAAATGCAATTCTTTGATATGCTTGGTATATGCATTTGTAGTTTGGATCAATGATCGCATCTGTGATCCGTCATAGGAAAATTTCGTCTGATGTAACAGCAATTCCCATTGCCCCCGACGTTCTCCAATTAAACTTTTACCAAAAGTTAAATCTTTATCTCCATGGAGCATCAGGTTGTTATGCTCGTTGTCCCCAAATTCATAATACTGGGGTAGAACTTCATCTTTGTCAGAGATATTAGAATTTCTAATAACTGATTTTCCTCCGAAATCAATATAAGAGATTTCTTCCACCTCTGGATTCTCATCGTCTTTCTCCCAATCATACTTTTCATAGATAGGGAACTCGTCATAAACTGGAGCATCCATAATAGGATTCTCATCATCTTGATGATCATCATATTCATCATAGATCAGGACCTTCTGGTCTTCTGTCAAGTCTCTGATGTCAAAGACCCTTTCGACGGTGTGTGACCCGTCGATAAACTCATCTGTATGAGTGGTGCCCTCGAATTCCGGGATCTCAATCTTCACCCCCAATATTAGCAAAAAAGGATTAATTTTGAGGTTGACTTCGTCCTCGTTGCTCCTGGTTCTAGTTCCAGAATGGGTTTTCGCTCCTTTCCTCCTCATGAGATGATCTTTCAGATTCTCTTCCTTCATCTTACTCGTCCAACTGTGTTTGGGCAAACAGTTGTTCGAGCTCCTGAATTCGCCTACCATGTTCTGCCATTGTAGCAGCCATTGCTACAATTATGGTGTGTCGCACGTCGATGTGGCTACAATTATGGTGTGTCGCACGTCGATGTGTGGTTGTTCGCCATAGCCATAAAGGGTGTTACCACGCCCTTTACAACCGTCGTCGCCTCGACCCCGTCGTCCACGACCTCGACCTCGACCGCCATTGTTCTGTTCAGTCATTTAAGTGACAACCAGAGCTCTGATTACCAAATAATGCCGAAGCACTAACCAATTGGCTAAACAGAAAGAAGAACGAACATAAGGATTGTGAGAAAACACTATTTCTCTTTTCTTAATTTTCTTTAACCAAAAACAACCAAATAACAATAGGGTTCTCCAAGCCTTAAATAGGCAAAAAAAGTAAATAACTATAATCATGCGCAATCAAAAGAGATAACGCACAATCATCGCACACTCAAACATAATCTAAAATAACAAAAAGGAAATAACTAGCAATTATTAAAATTCTTTAAATAAAGAAATAAATAATGGAAAAGCCCAATCCAAGCGAGTCAGCTTGGGTGCATCACTCAGTTTAATGAAAACCATGCATAATCAAATAGGATGCATTCAATATTGCTCCTTTAGCTCATTGTCACTTAATAGGTTAAGCTTATTTGATTTTTCAATTTCATATATGAGAAATCATGAAAGAAAACAAAGAAGAAAAAAAGTAATTGAATCATTCAATTGTTCGATTCTAATGATGATACAAAATCACATGGATTCATGCATGTGCCAAATCGCATTGAATCGTGCCATTCGCGATCCTAACTTAGTCCCCGGAAACATTCTTCACTAGCAGTTTAGTCCAGAATTTATTTATGAGCATGAATTGGCCGTAAACCGTATCAAGCTAGTCCTTTTTAGGGATTAAAGGGAGACACAAACAGGAGTCACATGACTTTCCTAGTTAGATACATTGCATCTTTCACATACACTATTCTCACTCTAACCCCATGTCAAATAACACTCAATTCAAACCCCTAAACCCCAAAAATCCCCCTCCCCGCAAACTAAGCCACAATTCCAATTTCAGAATTGTGTTGTTGATGACACAACACAAAAAAAGAGAGGAAATTGATGGTACCAACCACATGCTGCCTCTGTACTTCAAGGTATAAGGTCCACTCTCAAGGGGGCGATCGAAATGGCTATGGACTTTATCATTGCCCTTATCACTCTGATCAATCAACGTCAACTTGAAGAGAGCCCTAACATCGGTTCCGTCACTTGCAAGTGCTATGAAGACAGAAACATACATGGAATTGTCCTCAGGGTTCTTACCATCAGGGTAAAAATAAATGGCCCAATCATAACCACCAACGCTGAAGGTGTCGCTCATTATATACTTCCCAGCACCCATCCCTTTCGCCAAAGAATAACCCTTTATCGTGAACTTGTGCGACCCATTTACCGTCTCGCTTATCGAACGCGAACACGACGACCCTTCAGAAAACGGCTTGAAATCCCCCATCCTTTCTTCCAATTCCGACGCTAACGAAGGTTTTGGGGACAACATCGCCACAAAACAAACCCTAACGATGCATCAATTGGGAGGTTGGTGGAGGAACCGCAAAAACCCTAATTTCCGATAGGGTCAGAAATTGGGGTTCCGTTCAGGGCAAGAGAGGGTTAGGGGTAACGCTAGAAAGAGAGAGAGAGAGAGAGAGAGAGAGAGAGAGAGATTATAAAAATGAAAACAAGACTTGCCTGGTAGCAAGTTACGTTACGAAACTTGGTTTTATGGTTAAGGTTTAAGGAAGGACATAATTGCGGTTTGAAAGCAAGGAACCCCGTTTGTTGTTATATTTATAGGATTCTACTGCCACCGGTTGCACTGGGTAACAACATAACACACTACACGTCTTTCCTTTTCTCCAAGAGGTTGACCTAGCTATGTTTTCAGTCAAATTATTTTTTATTAAGTTACTCACTTTCGTTTTAGATAAATAATCAAATTATTTGATTGATTTAATTAGAGTATATTCTAGTTTGATTTTTAAATTATTAATTAGTACTCAATTGTTTTTTAATTAAATATTTCTTAAATAATTTTGACTGGATGTAATGTTATATGTTATAATTAGTATAGTCTGACAAGTTTTTTTTTTTTTTATACCAATCCTAATAACTTTTTGAGATGAGTAGATTTTTCAGTATTTTTACAAACTTTGACTCTTTGAGTTGATTATAAAATTAATCCCGAATATAGAATGAAACGAGAATTAAGTTCTCATACCCCTTCTGTGTGAATCAAATCAAGGTCATTTTTCACTCGCTCAATTCCATTACACCAACTAAACAATAACCGTCGGGTTTAATAAGTTGGTTTCTTTTCCTTTAATAATCCTGGTTCAAATTTCATATAGATATGTATTTACATAGTTAATGTGTTGAATTAAGCTACGTTTGTATTGGATTTTAAAAAGGAAATTGAATCTCCTTTTGTTGAGCGCCCAGTTGGAAGGAAAAGAACCATAAAGGGATATGTGATTAGTTATCCAAGTCTTTCAACTATATTAAGACACTCACAAGGCAATTTTGCATTTTTGTAATTATGCTTTATTTGGCAGTCCAAGAACTCATCCATCAAAGACCTTCACTGCATGCAGTGCTCATTTATACGACTCCTAATTGTGTAACGCAGTGACTGAGTAAGGACCACGCTAATAGTTCTAACACCAAGCTGGGCATGTCTCATGATAATGACCTCGAAAACTTTCTAGACAAAGCTATAACTAATCCAAGTTATCCCAAATTGTTTTTTTTTTTTTTGTTGTCTCGAAAAGAAGAGTCGCGTGTGTAGTACTAGGTTTCATCTCATGACAAGCTGCTTTCAGTTTTACTTTTACCCGCTATGTCTTGTTATCCAGGCACAGGTAACAAAAGTACATACTTTCACAGTTTAACTAGATTGTATAATTTGCTTCTTCCTAGGGAGAGAGAAAATAGAGACAGTGAAAAAATAAAATAAAAATAAACAACTTAAATGCTTGTAAAAAATTTGTCTGTTTCAGAATCACTGTTCACACACAGCTGGCCGATTGTTCGCGCGTGCGAGCTACCATGATGGCTTGTGAGTTGTAACTGAGAACTGATTGTTAATTCGGATTTGGTTTCTACTTTTAGCCACATTCAGCATTTTTCTGTGCACACTTTCAGTTCAATCTACATGCAAAATCCAATTGAGGAACCAATATATACATTCACCATTTAACATGATCACAAAAATTTCCCTACACACACAATATTTTATAGGGTCCGTAGCAAATAAAAAAACTTTAGCACGCAAAACGAATCTCTATAACATTATATATATATATATATATATATATATATATATATATATATATATATATGGGTTTTGCGTAATGTTATAGAAATTCGTTTTGCGGGTAGTAATTTTCTTTTTCTTTTTTATAAAAAAGTGTGGGCCCCACAAAATGTTGTGTGTGTAGAAAAGTTTGTTGTGTCATGTTAAATGATAAATGTAAACCCCTATATATATATATATATATATATATATATATATATATATATATATGAAAAACATTTCTCAAACTGCTTGCGACAAATTTATCTCTGGTCCTCCCAAAAATACGTCGTTTTAATTATTTATATCCTTATATGTATTGATTCACCTTTGAATGGTTATGATTCCCCTTTTCTCTCTCTTCTTTTATCACCATTGATCAATCTTTGTACGGTTATGATTTAGTAGCCGAAGATAACTTTATCTCCGGCAGCTTGAGATAATTTTATCTCCGGCTACTAAATCATAACCGTTCAAAGATGGATCAATGGTGATAAAGGAAGAGAGAGAAAAAGGAAATTATAATCATTCAAGGGTGAATCAATTAATATAAAGAAATAAATAAATAAAACGACATAGTTTTGCGGTGACCGAAGATAAAATTATCTTAAGTTGCCGGAGAAATGTTTTTCCATATATGGGCTTATCATTTCTCAAGCTGCCGGAGATAAAGTTATCTCCCTTGAATGGTTATAATTTCCTTTTTCTCTCTCTTCCTTTATCATCATTGATCCATCTTTGAACGGTTATGATTTAGTAGCCGGAGATAAAATTATCTCAAGCAGCTTGAGAAACGATAAGCCCGTATATATATATATCAAGAAGACAAGCTCATGCAGATTCTTAAATTCTGCTAGGGACGCTAATTTATTTTATATTTTCTCATGTCACATAAATTATTATCTATTACAGTCTACAATGATTAAAAAGATAACACACCAATATATATATAGAGAGAGAAAAATATTTGATTTTATGTGATTTTAAATGAAATAATATCGTTTTATATCCCTTTCTTTCCATAAAATTAGGAAGAGAGAAAGAGAGTGGATGGAGAAAATATAAAAAATTATCAAATATGCATCAAAACCATAATTGTTTCATCTAAAATAGCATAAAGTTATATCATTTAAAATGACAAATGTTTATCCCTATATACATATGGGAGAGGTTATATTTATTACTAAAATTTTTTATAACTCTTACCACTAAATTAATCACCGTTGATTTTCGTCAATCTAACAGTTATAATTTATTAACAATTGAATCTACCTACCTTTATTCTGCCTACCTTTGCATACCCTTTTTAATACCGTTAGATTATAATCTCATCCAAGTAGAGATTTGCAGAATAAAATAAATCAATTTTTCCCTTTTTTTCTCCTCGGTGCCTCCCACACCCTTTCGCTCTCCTCTCCTTTCTCCATAATTCGTTTTACTGTAAAACCAATAAATCTAAACACCTAAACCAGGTTTAGGGCAAAGATAACAAAATTTAACGATGTTAAGAGAGGTAGACAAAGGTAAACAAATTAAGAGTAGACATAATAACATATCTCATATATATATATATATGGAAATGATTCTTTAACACCGGTGTCAAAATTTAAAATTTGACACCAAATCCTAACCGTTGATTTTTGCCAATCAATTATTATCATTTATTGAGAATTAATGATTAATTAATAAATTTGATTCTCAACAAATGATCACCGTTGATTAGCGGAAATCAACGGTTAAGATTTGATGTTAAATTATAAAGTTAACACCGGTGTCAAAGAATCTTCTCTCTCATATATATATATAGGTAAAACATTTCTACAGTTACTTTATGTACAACAATTAATCTTGATAATTAATTTTCCATATTTAATGCTTTTACCTATCTTTGTATGATTATGACTTCTCAAATTTAATTACTATACATAGAGTATCTACAGAAAAATTGGACCCGTATATATAGGATCCATATAGGATTTGGATCCTCTCATATTTAAAAGTGGTTTATCACAACCAGTCTCATTGATGATAAGATAAAAGAGATAAAACTATATGATTATATATAAATATATATGAGGGATATTCTTTCTACCAAAATCTTCTACTACCAACTCATTACCTATCTAATCATCATTGGATCAACATTTTATCTTTTTTCAAAAACTTTTTAGCATTCTCTCTCTTTGATTCAATGGTGATTAGATATGTAGTAAGTTAGTAGTATAAAATTTTGGTAGTAAAAATATCCTTCCTTATATATATATATATATATATATATAGGGTTCGCTTTTTCTGCAGATAAGTTATCTGCAGTAAGCCAATACGACGTCGTTTTGGGGCAGAAATCATGGTGTTTTTGTAATTTTAATTTATTTCAGGGTTATAACAGTCTTTATATTTATAATTTTTTAAGATTTCAATACCAAAACGACGTCATTTTGAGAATAAATGCAGATAATTTTTCTGCATTAACGGCAGAAATATTTCCCCCATATATATATACAGGGAACATATCTATTTACCATTCTTACAACCAATTTAATCACCGTTGATTTCCGTCAATCTAACGATTATAATCTATTGAAAATTAATAACATTTATTGTATTAAATTGGTTGTAAGAGTGATAAATTTTTTATATATATGTGGTTCGCTTTTTCTACAGTTACTGCAGATAAGTTATCTGCAGTAAGCCCAATACGACGTCGTTTTTACCAAAAATCATGGTATTTTTGTAATTTTAATTTATTTCAGGGTTATTATAGTCTTCATAATTATAATTTTTTAATATTTCAATTCCAAAACGACGTCGTTTTGACAGTAAATGCAGATAACTTATATGCATTAACTGCAGAAATATTTTTCTGTATATATATATATATATATATATATATATATATATATATATATATATATGGGAAATGATATTGTAACAACCAATTAGTGTTGCTACCAATAAATTTCACCGTTAGATCGTTATGTTAATCCAACGATTATATTTATTTTCATCTTTGTATGGTTATGATTCCCCATATTTAATATTTTATATTTATTTATACCTTTGTATGATTATGATTTTCCATATTTAATGTTTTCTCATTAAATATGATGAATTATCACCATATAAAGATAGAAATAAATATAATCGTTCAAAATAATCGATCTAACGGCGAAATTGATTGGTAATAACATTAATTGATTGTTACAATATATATATATATATATATATATATATATATATATATATATATATGGGTTTTTTGACCCTTATAACCTTTTATTAACAATTAATTATCAAATTGACTTTCATTCTAAACTATTTCAAATATTTAACCCCCAAAAAAAACATAACATCTATCAGTCCATATTTGACCGTTGACCACCAAGTCTACCCATGTACACCCCTCCCTTCCCGGGTATTTTTTGAATTTTTTTGCCTACCCGGGTAAGGAGGGGTGTACCCGGGTATTTTTCTTGACACTTGAGAAATTGCTTGAATTATTTACCCGGGTAGGGAGGGGTGTACCCGGGTGATCCCAGCTCCAATTTCAAAGAGCAAATCATAAAATAGGCAGAAAGTATCATAAGCAATTATTTACCCGGGTAAATAATTCAAGCAATTTTTCAAGTGCCAAGAAAAATACCCGGGTACACCCCTCCCTACCCGGGTAGGCAAAAAATTTCAAAAAATACCCGAGTAGGGAGGGGTGTACTCGGGTAGACTTGGTAGTCAACGGTCAAATAGAGGCAGATTGGTGTTATGTTTTTGGAGGGGTTAAATTTTTGAAATAGTTAAAAATGAAGGTCAATTTGGTAATTAATTATTAATAAAAGGTTATAAGGGTCAAAAAGCCTATATATATGGGATAGGTTATTCTACTCATGGTACTTAAAATCGGGATTCTACTTAAAATCGGAAAGAAGATAAAAAATCGTAAATCGTAAAATCCTAACGTAAAAAAAAATCGTGAAAAAATCGTAAAAGTGTTTGGAATTTTGATGAAATCATTATAATTAAAAAAAAATCGTAAAATTGTAAAATCGCAGATTTAAATCGGGACTATTATAATCTACCTATTATTTTTTTGCCTACCACTCTAAAACACCGTTAAATCAGAATCTTAACTAATATTTATGGTAGGTAAAATAACTTATGCCCGTATATATAAAAGAAAATTAAGAAGGAGACTCCGTTCACTGGTTTGTGCCAATAAATAAATAAGTAAACAGAGTCTGTAAATAGCTGCAAAACACGAACGCTCAAGCACACTCCCACTCTTTTATAAGTTACTTGTTCTTCATCTCAAAGGTGGAAATTGATGAAGTAGTAGAGAGAAAAAGGAAGAATTTTGAGTGTTACCCTTTATTTGTGGATCCATAAACTGAAAGAATGAAATCCCCATTGAATGGCGATTTTCTGAGAACACACTTAACGCTCAAGATCGCCGCTTTCTTCTTCATCGCCGTCACTTTCTTCTACTTCGGGAAGCACTGGTCCGATCGCAACCACCAGCAGCTCATCTTCTTCAACGTAGGATCCGACCCGAATCCGAATCCGAACCCGGTTGTCTCCATATCCCCGAATTACAACAAATTCTTCAATGTCTCTGCCCTCATCGATCAGAACGCAACCCAACCGGCGCCGCAAAAAGCACTGGAACAACCATCGCCGGAAAAAGCCACAGAACCACCGCCTCCTCCTCCGCCCTTGCCGGCGGTGGATTCACTTGAGAAATTCGGGATCTTGAACGAGAATGGTACGATGTCGGAGGAGTTCGAGGTGGGGGATTTCGATTCGGGAATGGTAGATGATTGGGTGAACGAGACGCAGGTTGAGAATGAGAGTGGTTCTTCTTATTCTTCTGGGTCTGCTCCTAAATTCGCTATCAAGAAGTTCGGGTTATGCCCGCGAAGCATGAGGGAGTATATACCTTGTTTGGATAACGAAGACGCGATTCGGAAGCTGAATTCGATGGAGAAAGGTGAAAGGTTCGAGCGGCATTGCCCTGAAGAAGGTCGAGGGTTGAATTGCTTAGTTCCTGCACCCAAAGGGTACCGTACCCCAATTCCATGGCCCAGAAGCCGAGATGAGGTAAAAACATTACCTTTATTCCTTTTCCTTGGAATTCAGCCAAATGGGGCATTCCTAGTTTCAATTAAGATGATTTTATTTTGTTTCCATCTCCCCGTAACTTTTTAAATGACCTTTTGTTTTATTTGAGGTTTCATAGTACGAGGTTTTTTTTTTTTTTTTGGTGTAGGTATGGTACTATAATGTTCCTCATACTCGTCTAGTTGAAGATAAGGGCGGCCAAAACTGGATTTCCAGGGACAAAGATAAGTTTAAGTTTCCAGGAGGTGGTACGCAATTTATACATGGAGCAAATGAATACTTGGACCATATTTCTAAGGTTGATATAGTATATACTTTGGTTTCACCCTTTCTTTTTGGACAGTATAGGTGCTTCTTATGGGAATCTGATGTTGAACATCTGCATTTGTAGATGATTCCTGAAATTACATTTGGTCAGCATATTAGAGTTGTTCTTGATGTTGGCTGCGGGGTTGCTAGTTTTGGTGCCTACTTACTGTCACGGAATGTCGTTGCCATGTCTGTTGCTCCCAAGGATGTTCATGAGAATCAGATCCAATTTGCTCTTGAGCGTGGCGTACCAGCAATGGCGGCGGCATTTGCAACTAGACGTTTATTGTATCCAAGTCAAGCTTTTGACTTGATACATTGTTCACGCTGTAGAATTAATTGGACTCGAGATGGTATGTGTTTTTATTTCTTGTATAATGTTGCAATAGTTCTTGGTAATAAATAATGAGGAGAAAAATGATATGGAGAGGTCTTAAAACAGCTAATCAACTAGTAGAGGCTTAGACAATGCATGTTGGAACTGCTAGTTTTCTTGCTAGTGATATGTAATCGTCATTTTTTGCATGATGATGCTTAAAACTTATTTACTTGTGATGAAGATGGGATATTGCTGCTGGAAGTTAATAGGATGCTAAGAGCAGGAGGGTACTTTGTCTGGGCTGCCCAGCCAGTTTATAAGCATGAGGAAGTTTTAGAAGAACAATGGGAAGGTATAGTTTAAATGAGTTTCCATTTAGATTGAATATATCAAAGCTTTTTAGTTATCGAGTTATTGTATTTAAGGATTGCTCAATTTCATACCTTTGTATTAATATTAGCATTTTCTGACATGATATACACCAAATTCTTTCTTACCATGTTTTCCATCATTGTCTAAAGATCACTGACAGAATTAACATGCAATCTGTTAAATAATGATCAACCCTTGACGTACACCTCTCTCAACGATTTGTTTGTTATTCAAAGCAAACGCTTGATATTTTGCAAATTCCTGTTTAATGTTTCTTTATAATTCCTTTCTCATTCTCTGTCTTGTATGCTATGATTTGAAAACATGCTTGAGGAGAAGCATCTTAAACGGCTATGGTGTCAAATACCCGCTTATCTGCTCCCACTTTCATTATTGACAGTCACTTCGCTATTTTTATTGAACTGACTTGAACACTGAATAAGTTATTTGGGTTTGTCTAACTCTATAATACAAAGAATGCTGTCTGCACCTATGATGAATGCAACATTGGATTTTCTTTTCTCCAGAAATGCTTAATCTTACCACTCGACTCTGCTGGAAGTTTTTGAAAAGAGATGGGTACATTGCAATATGGCAGAAACCTACTGACAATAGCTGCTATCTAAACCGAGAGGCAGGAACTAAACCTCCACTGTGTGACCCAAGCGATGACCCAGACAATGTTTGGTATGGTCTTCTAGCCTTCTTGATCTTGGGATGATTATATACATTTTCATCCAATTGAATGATTATCACCAAAAATGATATGTAAATTTACTATCATTCGTATATGTTATAAAGCTTTCCAGGATAAAATCGGAGTAGGAAAAAAGGTGCAATTTCCCAATATGTAGGTTAAAACACCCCAGAGAAGTAGAATAGCGTAGTTCCTTCCTTCATCAACTACCTTTTTTCCATAAAAAATAAAGTAAAACAATTTCCATTCAGATAAATTTGATGAAGCTTTAAACTCTAATCTAAACTAAGGCTATAAAAATGGCTATCAGATTTACATTTAGGTAAATTTGATGAAACTTTAACCCTCCTGGGGAAAAAAAAAGAAACAAGAAGAGACAAGAAGAAAAAGGAAAAGGAATTTTTTTTTTTTGGTAATCTAGGAAAAGGAAATTTAATGTAGTGTGTAAGGATGCATAAATGGTTATTTCACTGTAAATATGGTTTTTCATTTGTTAAAGATTATATTATGTCATAATAAAATGTGGAATGCCGCAAAAGACTAAGGAAGCAGAAGAGCTGGCTGCGCTGCCCCCGGTTTATACATGTCTATTTTGAATTTCTTTGTGCAATGATGTAGAATACTTTTTTTCTGGTTATGCTCCTGACACCTGTGCTGTTCATGGGAAAGAAAAATAACGATGAGTTATATCAATAATTTTGGGTGAAGAGCCTCATGATAGCTTGTTGTGCATCTTATTGTTATTACTAAAATTTAATGGCTCATTTTTGGTGATTTCGTTATTTGCCTGATTAATCTAGGTATGTTAATCTAAAAGCATGCATCTCTGAATTGCCTAAGAACGGATATGAAGCAAATGTTACCAACTGGCCTGCACGTTTGCAAACTCCACCTAATAGGCTTCAAAGCATAAAACTTGATGCTTTCATATCCAGAAAAGAGCTTTTTAGGGCAGAATCGAAATACTGGAATGAGATAATAGCAAGCTACGTTCGTGCTTTACGCTGGAAGAAGATGAGATTAAGAAATATCATGGACATGCGAGCAGGTTTTGGAGGGTATTGTTTATGTTTTATTTACTTTATTATTATAAATAATTTTGGATTTTCCAATTAGCATGTTCAATATATTTGAGTGTTCTACAGATTTGCAGCAGCATTGATTGATCAGAATCTTGACAGCTGGGTTATGAATGTTGTTCCTGTTAGTGGCCCAAACACCTTGCCTGTTATATATGACCGTGGATTGATTGGAGTTATGCATGACTGGTATTTTACTATATCTATTTATATCTCAATGTGTTACTGAGGTTTCTTAATTTCCACACACTAAAAAATTCCCTTTTGTCCAAATCCTCCAAATTTCTTTTATCAACTTGTAAACATTTAGTAATATTTCATGATTTATAATATAGGTGTGAAGCATTTGACACCTACCCGAGAACCTATGATTTACTACATGCAGCAAACCTACTTTCTGTTGAGAGGAAAAGGTACCCTTTTCTCTACTTTTCATCTTATATTTAATCTGTTATCCTTCTTAGCCTTATAAGTACTCATTTTACTAATGCTACTAAATTTTAAAACTCTTGTCCCCTAGGAATCTACCATCTTAATATTTGTGCAACATGAAACAACTCATATTTGTTATTTCACATTTCATATTCTTTGCTCTCTGTTGCATTTATGTATATTAGATGCAATGTGTCATCAATTATGCTTGAGATGGATCGAATACTAAGACCTGGTGGACGAGTATACATCCGTGATTCTGTTCCAATAATGGATGAACTTCAAGATATTGCCAAGGCAATAGGGTGGCACGTGACATTGCGAGACACATCTGAGGGGCCTCATGCAAGTTATAGGATCTTGGTTTGTGATAAGCACCTACTACGCGCTTGAAGCAATGAGGTATATAACATGTTTTTTCTTTGATCCTTAAAGTGAGTAGTCAACACAACATAGTGAATCAGTCATTTGAGAAGAGAACACAAAGATGCAAGTGATGTTGGTTTATTGATACTACTCGGCATAAGATCCCAACATCTTGATAAGTCAAGTGCATCAGCTAACTTAATTGTAAAATTCATTCTATTTGTATATTCCAAAACTCTACGTGAGCACCTGTTATATGATTCATCGATGTTTATTCCAAATATAACGAATCAGAAAAAAAAATTATAATGATAAAAGCTAATATAATCTCAGAATAAGTTATCTCGCATGAGAGGAGAAACATTAAATTCATTAAACTCGTATGTAATAGAATTTTTTGTTAGGAAACAGAAATAATTGAAAGAAATTGAGAATGGGAAATTTGAAATTTATTGAATGGCGTGCAGGAAGTCAATTTTATGGCTTATGTAGAGTGACAGAGAGTAACTAACTACTACTCAACATGTTCTTAAATGACGTTTAGATGAAATTGAGATCATATTTTTGTTAAATGAACAAGTCGACGTTGCCTACAAATTAAAAAACAATATAATGGTGAACATGTAAAATGTGTCAGTTTGCTTCGTTTGACACTTTCTGAAATGTGTTTGCCAAAAAAGGTGGAGAATACTTAACCTTCCTTTAAACGCCTGTTAATGTTGGAGAATACTTAACTAAATAAGGTGTATGTCTTTAAAGTTTAGAGGACAAAATGGATATTTACTTTTTATATATTTTGTTAACTATACTTTTGAGTAACCATTATCTCACTAATTGATCAATTTGGTAAAAAAAAAAATTGTCAATATAATAAATTTCAAGACATATATACTTTATTTGGGGATAGAATGACATATGGCATCTACTAACGGGGAAAAATTTCAATGCACCCCTCTCCCCCCCCCCCCCCGTTTTTATCCGTTTTTTTATGGGAAAAATATTTGTCCTTTTAAATGACACAACTTATATCATTTCACTCTCATAAAGAAGTGGGACCCACACCTTTATATTTTTTTGTCCATTCTCTCTCCTCCTTTATCTATCTCACTTAAAATGACACAACTTTATATCCTTTAAAATGATACACATTTTTCTCTTTTTTTATATTTTTGTTCAAGTCCAAAAAAATTTCTTTTTAATAAAAGGAACTACCAAGTTCGATGATCCCATTGCATTGAAGTTTTTCTCCGCTAACAGAGGTGATAGAATCTTTTCCTTAAATAAATAATAATAAGAGGTATGTGACGTGATAGCATTACGGACAAACAAGCTCCTAGGTGACCTAGCATTTCTTTTTGGAAAATATTTTCGGTATTATGGATGTACTGATTATTTAGTATATCTTTTATTAAATGTGGAAAAAAAAAATATTTATACTATTCTTATCTTTATAGTTATTTCCTTCCATATTTTGTTTTTCTTTTTATAAGTTGCACCAAAAATATGACAATACTTTTTCACTTCGTTCCCTCTTAAAAAATTAGAGGTAATGGAAAAAAGATTGGTAAGTAGAGGTGAAATTGGATTGGGCTGAGCCGGGCCAAGCTTTGTTTTCAAAAGGTCAAGTTTATATCAAAAAAATTTAATTTGACCTAGCCCAATAGCATAGTAAAGTCTAACTGCTAGCCTGGTCTGAGTCATTTATAAAAAAAAAACAATGACCTGGTTTAATCTGTTAGCCTGTGAACATTTAACTTCCAAACAGAACATGAATCAACTTCACAAAATAATCAAATTTTGTTGTTAAAACAAAAACCACAATTTCAACGTTTAAACAAAACCATAAATCGTAACAACAACTTATCACAATCTGCATTTAAGTCAATTTTATAACCGCGATACCCAAACTAAAGAACATATATTTCATCAAATCTAAGAAATCAATCCATACTGTGTAAATTAAAATAATTGTGTGAATCTAACAAATGCATCATGATGCTTGTAATAGCCAAAAAGTTCTCATCATCTTCTCTTCCATGTAAATACAATTCTAAGATTACATAAGTTGGTAAATAATTTGTAAATATAAAAAATAAAAAACAAGATTAAAGAATAAAAAAAAAATTAAAAACATAAAAACCTTTTTATACCTTTTTTTTCAAGACATACTTATTTACGTAGCCAATTTCCACCATATATTAAAGTTTATATGGTATCTTCAACCAAGTTAGAATGATAGGCATCAATAACTCTTCCTCCAGCACTAAATGTTGATTCTGATATTGGTACAAATCTTATGCCACTCCCAAAGGTAGTATTGGTGGGGGATCAAACCTAGGTCTTTCCATCACCTACTCAGTTCACATGCACCAATTGAACTATCATTATTTGGTATTACTATGAATAATGTTATTTTATTTTATTTAAAATAAATAATATGACATAGGTCAGCTTGTAAGCTTATAAACCTGACATGTAAAAAATGGCCTATAACCTACTTTTTAAATAGATTTTTTTAAAAAATCCAAATCTGTTCTATTTTATTATATATCATAGGTCATAAGTCCTTGTAAGCCGATCTAACCCACTTTTCACCGCTATTAATAAGTTATCGTGAAGTCAAGCAAGAGTATCACTCCCCATGATGACCCCTAGTCCTCTGTAGCGAGTCCCTCTCCTTGGGCAAAGTTATTGAGAACAATGCTCCACTTTAGAGGCGCGAACAATAAGGAAAATCTGACATGTATTAATAGAGAGTTTGAGAGAGCATTGTTATATCTTGTTGTGAACATCTTTTTTTGCGGTACTTATATAATTATAGGGAAATACTGATAGGAGATAATTATTTTATGTGATATAGAGAATATGGATGAGTTGTATTATTACAAGAAGAAGAAGAAAAAAACAAGGGTGCAAAAATCAAAGCGATAAAGTATGAAAAAAATTATTTCTTATTAAATGAGAATAATAAATCCCATAGTTATATCTATTGAAATGGGGAGAAAATTACTAAGAAAAATTAAAAAGACGAATCTTAAAAAATATGAAACTGAAATACATTTAAAGAAAATAATAAATATAATTGTTGGAATAAGAATACGCAAGTTGAATAGAAGACAACAAATTAATGGGAATAAGATTAGGCATGCCCTATAAACTTAAAATTTTTATTACAGAGTTGAATGATTTTGAAATATTTATACTACGTGCTATTGATACATGTGTTCCGAGGTTATTAAATTATTATTTACTCAGCTGAAGTATAACTCATAGAAGGAATGTTATAATTTCCTCTCTCTTTTTCCTCTCTTTTTTTCATTGACTATTTTTATCGTATCTTTTTTTCTAGCAATTTTTTATATTGTAAAGCCAAATAACACGAATTACAAAATTATCCCTACAAAAATAAAAAATATATAAAACAAATATAAAATAATTGAAAACCCCATAAAAATAACCCCCAATAGCCCCAAAAAAACGCCGGTGCTCATTACAAAATATGAGGCTTGCTCAAAAGGTCAATTCCATAAGTCCGCTCAAATTTGAGTCCGTTCTGTGATGGTGGTATATCATCTTTTTTTTTCCCTTCTCCTTTGTATTCTCTTATAACCTTAGAAGGAATATTATGAGAACAATATAATAAAAAACATAGGATTTTATATTTATTATGTTATATAAGATGAGTCTTCTTATGTCATAAAAACAAAAATTATGCAAGATTCATATATTAGAAAAAGTTATGTATACAGTCAAAAAATGTACATATTACTTGACACAATTCCGGGTAACCATTTCTTTTCTTGTTCGAGTGTGTGGGTTTGTACTTTGTTGCAATATTTCCTACAGAAGTAGCTAACTGTACCTTTTATCAATTTAATTCATGTTCTGTCTTGGCGACAGAGATGTCTAGCCCAATGGACTGATATGTTAATCTTGGATCTAGTGTCCTCTCCAAGGTATCTATGAAAGATATACCCTTGAGTCAAGCAGATCACTCTGCACAACGAACTAATAACGGCGTTAGCCAATGGGGTGTGTGCGCGCGCACAGTGACAACATAACAGTAAGAGAGAGAGGGCGTAACGTACCTTTAGGGTTTACCTTGTATTTACAGAGGTTACCTGTGGGTAGTATGATGTGGGCTTTTGGTGCATCTGATAAGGGCCCAAGTCTGTTTGCTACGCTGTCGTATTAGGATTAGTATTCTTGATGGATACTATCCATAATTATAATTGATTCAGATCTTGGATTGCTCATCATTGGGCCTGCCATTCAATGGGCCCCTTATACGAATCCATAACAGTTGCCCCTCAGCCAGGCTACCTGGGCGTTCGGGTTGTCGGGGTGAATTTTCTTGCGCTTTACTTCAAGCTTCTTGCTGGGCTGAGAGCGTTTTAGTTTTTGTAAACTCTCTGCATGCGTGTTCCTTAATCTGAGTGTTTTTCAACTGGGATCCTCATTGCCCCTTATCTCGGCGGGTTGGGCATGAACCCGGGAAAGCATTTCACGTATTTCTATACCGAGTTTGGGATGTGCTTGAGTAGTTGGGATCCAACTGGCGAGTTGCCCCCACGCATCATACCTTACGAACACGTCTTGAGCTTGTCACTTTCTTTTGGAATCAGGAATAATTTTCCCTAGTTAGTTACATGGGCGGGTGATGCATCAACCCGGCAAGATACTCTGCATATGCAACAGGGTAACGAATGTGCTTGAGAAGTTGGGATCCAACTGGCAAGTTGCCCCCAAGCATCATTGGTATAACCCGGCTAAGAGTCGTTGTATACACGTGTCTTCAGTCTCACGTGCCGACTTATCAGTAACACTTATTTCATTCTGACATGTGCTGCTAGCCGCGTGTGTTAGCGTGTTGCAGCCATTTTATGCCATTTTCGCGTTTCGTGCGCATTTATTAGGAGCGTCGTTTCATGCAGATTCCGCTTTTTGCTTTTAACCTAATTTTCTTAATTAGGTTTTCAAATTTGAGGCATCATGGTGACTTGATCGGGGTCGTATCAATCTGCCCCTTATTTTTCAAGCCTGATTTCATTTATCACAACTTGTACACATGTTGTTTATTTTGACAACATTTAGGATTCAGAAGCGTCCTTCTGTTTTCCTATGCCTCGGCTAGAAGCCATAGTCTTGCAGTGTGCTTTTTATTTTTAACCCTTTTTCTATCCAGGTTCTTGCACGTTGCTAGATGTAGGTTTCCAATACCTTGATCAGAGTCAGCACGACAAATTGCGCTTGTATCTCAGATCTTAAGTTGATGCATCATAAACACAAGGATCCATATTTACGAAGGTATTTGCTTGTTCCCTCGTTTTACTTTAACCCAGATTCGTATATCGTGGTTTCATAATATTCAACTCCGCTTCTTGCCAGAGTGTCATTTTTTGACTTCGCCTTATTTTGCCGTTTTGACTTGTGAGCCATTTCGAATTGGGGTGTGATCCTTTTTGTAGGATCTCATCTCTCCGAACTCGTCTTCATTTTATCGCGGATTGGGGTGCGATACTTTTTTCCAGGATGACGTCTCTCCAAATCTGTCTTTATTCATTATCCCGGATTTTTATCCTGGGTCTTTGTCCCAGATTGGGGTGTGATCTTTTTTCTAGGATATCATCTCTCTAAACTCGTCTTCATTTTATCGCGGGTTAGGGTATGATCCTTTTTTCCAGGATCTCATCTCTCCAAACCCGTCTTCATTTTATCACGGGTTGGGATGTGATCTTTTTTTCCAGGATCCCATCTCTCCAAACCCGTCTTCATTTTATCGCGGGTTGGGGTGTGATCTTTTTTCCAGGATCCCATCTCTCCAAATTCGTCTTCATTCTTTATCTCGAATTTTTATCCTGGGTTGTTGCCTCCCAGCCCGGCAGTCTGGGTGTCCGGGATACAGGGTTGCTGTGCATTACTCTTTATTGCATTTGCGAATATTTTATTCTCAATGTATGGAAGTCGGCCATGGTCCAATCCTTGTTAGCCTTTGTTTTGTGATGTATGGCTTCAGACATCCTCCTTTGTTTTCCTACCCGGTAGTTAGGGTGTCCAAAGCAATGATGAACCGACAACGACACGAGACACGACACAACACTCCAACACGTTAATTCTAAAAAATGCTAAATTCCGACATGTTGGGACACGTTTAGATATTAAATAATATTTTTAATATATATAATATAGTTTACATTTAATACATATAGCAACTCATAATCGTCTTCATTTTATCGCGGGTTAGGGTATGATCCTTTTTTCCAGGATCTCATCTCTCCAAACCCGTCTTCATTTTATCACGGGTTGGGATGTGATCTTTTTTTCCAGGATCCCATCTCTCCAAACCCGTCTTCATTTTATCGCGGGTTGGGGTGTGATCTTTTTTCCAGGATCCCATCTCTCCAAATTCGTCTTCATTCTTTATCTCGAATTTTTATCCTGGGTTGTTGCCTCCCAGCCCGGCAGTCTGGGTGTCCGGGATACAGGGTTGCTGTGCATTACTCTTTATTGCATTTGCGAATATTTTATTCTCAATGTATGGAAGTCGGCCATGGTCCAATCCTTGTTAGCCTTTGTTTTGTGATGTATGGCTTCAGACATCCTCCTTTGTTTTCCTACCCGGTAGTTAGGGTGTCCAAAGCAATGATGAACCGACAACGACACGAGACACGACACGACACTCCAACACGTTAATTCTAAAAAATGCTAAATTTCGACATGTTGGGACACGTTTAGATATTAAATAATATTTTTAATATATATAATATAGTTTACATTTAATACATATAGCAACTCATAATAAATCATATAACTAATCAAATATTCAAATTCCATAACATAAACATTAAGCAAAAAAAAATAGAACATCCCAAGAGTGTAGAGTGTAGACCACTCACAAGTTCAATTATTTTCATCTCCATCTTGAATAATCATAGCCTCTATCTTTGGCTCATCAAGGGAAAGACTAGCAAATTGAAGATCTCCAATATCATCAAGTGAATCAAATGTATCTCCAGCAATATCCCACATTTGAGTTGCTCCTTGTGCATAACTAGGAGTCTTTCTTGATAAGAGTCGAAGATTGCTATGCACATAAACCAAGTCTTCAACATGTTTTGGAGTGATTTTATTCCTCTTGATGGAATGCACAAAAGAATAAGTACTCCAATTGCGTTCAACACATGATGAAGAGGAGGGTTGTTGCACAAGTCTCAATGCTATTTTTTGCAGCATCGGTGTAAAAGTACCATAAAGTAGCCACCAAGATTTCGGATCCATAGTGTATTGAGTATTGATGGCATCAAAATTGTCAAAGGTTCCACTATTGCTAATAAAATCTGCATACTCCAAACTAATCCGGCCTCGGTCCTCCATGCCAGGAAAGAATCTCCTTAAACATCTTTGTCGCTCTTGAGTAAGCTCTAAATCCATGTGTGGAGGAACTCGACTAGAATCTTCCTGAAGCCATTGCTGACTATAGTATCTAAAAAAAGTAAAAAAAAAATCAACAACTTTTCATATTATATCAAGAGGAGTATTGTAAGAACCTGCACCGTTAATTAAGGAATTTAATTAATAAATTATGAGAAAATAGGAAATGATTCCATAATTGACCCTAATAATTATTATGAGGCTTTAATAATTATAGTAAGTGAGTAATAATGCTGAAAGTTGCTTTTCGGAAAAAAAGTGCAGATACCGGTTCTGCTAGTCAGTATAAATGAGTACCGAAAAGTATCCCAGAAAATTAATGTAAGTGCATGATAATTACTAGAATGATATATAGGACTTGTAAAACGAGTTTCAAGTCCAAATAATGAGAACTGGTGCTAGAAATCGATACTGGCTTGGAAAAGCGCGTACCGAAAAGGTGCTCAGAAAATTATAAGAAAAATATGATAATTCTTGTAAAATTGAGTAGGTTAAGAATCCAGAGTTTGGGATTAAAATGCTAAGCGTAGCAATTAAAGTTAATACTGTGTGTTAATTGGGTAAGTGGCTATAAATACCCTTGTTAAGGGCACAAAACCCTAGGTATTTTCTGTTGCTACGTGAATGCTGGAGTGGCTGGTCAGTTGCTACTGTTCCATTGAGCTTTCTTCACCATTTTGAAGATCAAGTGTCATTTTTGCTTGCATTCTTCACCTCCAAACACTTGAGCCTTGTGTGAGTGGCCTTTGTGAGTGTGTAGAGAGTTTTGGTTCTGAGTGGAGGGACTGTTTGAAGTCAGTTTGTGGGCTGAGATGCCTTGTGTGAGGGTGAGAGCTTCCTACTTGGCTTGTGAAGCTTCAAGAAGCTTCTTTGTGAAGAAAGGACCAACCTTTGTGTTACATTTTCGTTCACCTTATTTCCAGAACCTGTAGAGGCAGTGTGGTGAGCTCCATGAGCCATTGATCCTCTATTTTGAGCTTTGGTGAGTTGTACCTACCTTGAGCTTGTGTTTTAATTGGTTAAAGGTGTGATCTTTGCATGTTTAAAGGGTTAATCAAGTAACCAACTGGGGTGTAGACCTTAATCAGTATAAAGATGCATGCTTTAACGTAATTAAGTGTTAAAAATGGAACCTTGGAAGGATATCTTCACGAATCCTATATCCGGATATGTGCCCGAGGAATATCCGGATATGTGATATCCGGATATGGGTTTTGAGTATCCGGATATCAGATATCCGGATATGAGATTCTGGATATCCGGATATTGAATATCCTATGTCCAGTGAGATATCCGGATATTGCATATCCGGATATGGTCCCGAAGAATATCCGGATATTCTGGGATTTCGTAGAACAGTAGCTGTGTTGTGTGTACAGTAGGCTATTGGGGGTTTGTGGACCCTAAATTGATGAAGTTGAACTTCTGTAATTAATGAACTAAGTCGAAATCGTTGTGATTAAGGACTTATGGCTTGGTATGGAGCCTTAAGACGTAAAACGTAAGGAAATGCGTTGTCTTTAAGTTATATGCTTGTGGTGCATTATTATTGATATAGTATTGGTCCATAACAGATTGTGAATCTGCTGTGTTTGGACTTTGAGCTGTGAACTCTCGGCCTTGGGTCTTAGCTTGCAAGGTAAGCTTCCGTGTCCTCGGTTTAGCCATGTTGTGGTTCCACCATGTCCCATGGGGGTATGGTTGTATGCATGCTGTGTTACATGCTTTGAATATTTGAAATGTTGTTGAGCTTTTTGTGTAATGGCTTTTAATATGCATGTGTTGTTTCATCTTGACGATAAGCCTGAGTATGTAGCGTCATACGATATGGTGATCTGGGGTGAATGCAAGTAGCGTCTTGCACTAGCGTGGGTATTTGGCGTATGTAAATCCTGCATTTCTCTGGCCAGTAGAATAGAATTGACACACATGACATGATTATCTGCTGCATTGCACTATTTTAGAACTGATGATGATATCTGCTTTTAAACTTATATTGCACATGTAAGTGAGCTTGGGGTGGAAGATCCTTGAGGACCCCTTGTCTTACTGAGATTTCTTGTTTAGAGATCTCACCCCACGTTTGAGGAATGCTTATTTCAGGTTCCAGTAGTTTGGTGACTGATGCCTCTGGCGGCAGGAGGCCAGATCTTAGTTGATGATATTATGTTGTATTGCTGCCATGACTGATTATGGATGCTGTTTATGTTTTTACGTTATTTATGTTTACGTTGTTGTTGAGACTGATGTTGGGCGTGTTGCCTTACTTGAGTGAGCATGGGGATTGTCCATGACACTTTATGTTAGTGCTTTAGATTGGAGTTGTATAAACTGTTAGATGGTCCGGTCTATGTTGTTGTAGTTCCGTGACTAGAGCCACGCTTTTATTATCTATGTTATGTGGTATATTCAGATAGCTGTTTTATTGCAATTACATACAGACGTTGTTTTATTAATTGATTAATAAGCAAGTTGGTAATGATAATGACATCATAATTGAAAAGAAAAAGATATTCCGCATTTTTTATTAAGCACTGCTTAATACGATAGTATGATAACATTGCCGGATATATACGGGGTGTTACAAGTATTAATTTTAAACTGAATCATATTTAAAAAATTACTTGGGATTTAAAGCATGTGCCAAACAATGTAGTGAAGTTGAATTTTTTGTCCAACGATCCACAAGAATGCGATGCACCACATTATAAAAAGAGGAGCTCTCTTCCATCCCCTTCCTCTCTTTATGGTATATAGCTTTCTTCATTTTCACAATCATTGAATCCCACATATCATATATCAAGTGAAGACAAGCTCTATCAGTGTCACAAGCTCTGATCATATCATAAATAGGAGCAGTGAAGGCAAGTATGTAATCAACTGAATCCCAAAAACAATCATCTAATAATTTTTCCTTCACAAGTCTGGCCCTCCCAAGATTATCATCTCTATAAATATTCCATTTTTCACTTATCACCATATTTTGGAGACTGCTCTTTATTAACTTGAACCTCTTCAGCATCATAATCATTGAAGCAAAACGAGTGTCAGCAATAGAAAGCAACTTCAAACTCACAAACTCATTATAGATTACCAATCTCATAGAATGATTCATAATGAAATGCTTTATTGCAGCAACATCACCTATAATATCAGAAATCCAGCTGCATTCCTCATATGCTATTTGATTGTTCTCCACATTCTTTGCAGCACAAATATTTTTCACATCCAAATTCAATGTGTGAACAACACACGGTGTCCAGGTAATTGATGGGAATTCCTGCTCAATCAGTTACCCTGCTCCCTTACAATTTGCAGCATTATCTGTGATTACTTGAACCACGTTCGCCTCTCTTACTTCTTGAATAACTTCCTTCAGCAACCTGAAAATGAAATTTTCATCATTAGTCATTCTCGAGCAAACAAACAAACACACTCAATCAGATTACAGAAGTTCAAACAAACAACCTGAAAATGAAATTTTTATCCTTAATCTCCCCCGAGCAATCAACTGATTTTAAAAACATTGTTTTACCATCAGATACTGCCATGAAATTAATGAGAGGCCTCCTTTGTGAATCGCTCCACCCATCACTTATAATACTCACCCCCTTATGAGTCCACACTTCTCGAATAGGTTCACACAACCTATCAATATTTTCTTTCTCTTTTTGCAACAGAGTGGTTCGCAACGCGTTATATCCCGGCGGTAAATAACCTCCAATATTATGATTTGCTGCATAAGTATATGAAGCTTGGAAGTAAGGGTTCTTTGCCAAATTGAACGGCAATCCTGTTGAATAAAACATTCTAGCAATCAGATAATTTAATTCTTCTCGTTCCCCAACATTGAATGCCATCTCAAGAGAACCCGTAGTTTTTCTTTTTTTCGGGCCAGTGGGAGAGCTAAAAGGGGGTAAAGGTACATTTCTAGGTGCATTAGATTGCTTTCTCTGTTCAACTTCCTGTTCCAATTTTCCATCTCTATCATGTCTCTATTTTGCACCATTAAGCATTTCCCAATTCCTTTGCTTGGTATTTTTAACAAGTGAGCCCTCACTCTAGTATACGAACTTTTATAATCTTTTTTACAAAAGTTACACTTCCAAGACAAATTCCCTCCTGCTTCCACTCTAGCATCCAATTGGGTAACATATTTCCATAGGGGTTTATCCAGTAATTCATTGGCAGCAGATACACTAGCAGCAGTGGCGCTATCACTGCCACTGGTAGAGGCAGAACTTGAATGATCCATATTGTAATCCTATAAATGTGTTAAACAAAAAAAAGTTATGATATTTATTCATCATTTTTTTTACAGGAGTACTTCAGCTAATTTTACTATTTTGTAATCTATATGCAGGGCTACTTGAGCTAAATCCACAAAGAATAAACATTTTCATTCATATATAATACTCAAAAAAATCACTTGGTTATCTTTCTGTTGAAAATATTGCATAAATGACAAATTAGCGCATAATTATGTGAGTAAAACCCACATATTCATACCAAAATCCGTTTAAATCTTATATGTCCTTTCAATGTTTCCCACCTAATTGAATTCTCCAATGACTATTATATTCACCGTATTTTTATTTGTCACACACAAGATGTTTGCTCTATCACATTACATTAATAATTTATCAATAATATTTGATGATTTGAGGCTCGATCCCTTATTTAATCTTCACTTATTCCATTTCTAACTAATGGGATTTCACTCACATTTGAATAATAAAAAATTAAGATAAAAAAAAGCCTCCAAACCACTCAAATCTAAATTATAAATCTGTTGAGCTTCAATTGATAAATAGATGGATTTAAGATTTTAACTTTTGATTGTGAAAAAAATTAAGAATAAGCATGGACCTTATTAGTTTGGGCTATTTATTTGAATGACTAGAGTAAGCACTAAGCACTACATAATTAAAAATGCCTTCCGTCTAAACAATCAGCCATTAAAAATTTATTTGAATGGCTATTTATTACTCGTGACATACTCCTGTAATATACAAGTGTTCAGCAGTGCTAATTTGAGTGATTTGGAGGCTTTTTTTCATCTTAATTTTTTATTTACAAGTGTGAGTGAAATCCCATTAGTTAGAAATGGAATAATCCCATTGACATAGTCTTTTCTAGTTCTGAAATCCTATGATCATTTAAGAACATGCAACTCTGCCAATTAAACAACGAGGATTTTATCATGATCTATTGTTTCCTTTTTTATTTTATTTTTATTGTGTTGGGTTTTTATTTAGGAAAAATTAAATAAGAGAACTTTTATCACCCACTTCCTTGTTCGGCAATGTTATGATTCAACTAAAAAGTAAAGGTTATAAAAGGGTAAAAACAAGAGGATAAGCCACGTTCAATAGAAAGCACACAAATAGAGTAGGTGGTGCAACACCTGGTAACTGGTATGTCGGGCTATCTTGAAGCTTCAAGCACGAGCTCTGTTGAACTAGTCAGATTCTCTCAGCCCTGCAATGCAACCCAAATTGTCATTTACCACTAAGTCACATGCTATGGTGTGTCAGACTATCACACATAATATCATGTTTGTAGGACTCTCAGCCATTAATACAAACAGGTTGTATGCATCAAATTTTTCAAACAATAAAATCATACCTGTGTCTGTGTGTATAGCCAACAAGTATAGGTAAGGGATGGACGATTGGAAACTAGCACTGACATATGGCTAGGTGAGGGACGGACGACGGGAAACTGCCCACCGAGTTGTTCCCTTTTAGCATTGGTTGAGAACGCTATGAAATTGATACATTTCAGAATCTCTCAGCAGAAAAAGATAAAAAGTATGCTAATCATAAATAATATTGTCCATATATCATAAGAAAGAACAAAATGAAGAGCATGAGACAAAATATTGCAGAAACTAGTTGCAAGAAAGACGAAGAACACACATGGAAACTGCAAAGCTACGATGATGGTGACCGAAGCTATGTCGAGGAGATAACTTGCAGTGGAGAACAATAAATTTGAGGGGTTAGTTGAGAACGAAGAACACACTTGAAAACTGGCACTGACGGATGGCTAGGTGAGCGACGGAGAACGATGGAAGTGAATGAGGAAGTGAGTCTGAGAGGTTTGATTTAGGTCTCAAAACATTCGATTTTATTTTTTTTTTATTTTAAAATTATTTTAATTTTATAAAAATGTCAAAAAATTTACATTTGTACCCTTTGACCGTGTCGGACACGGTCAAAGTCGCATGTCGGGATAGTCAACGTGTCAGAAAAAGTCAACTACGTGTCGGACGCGTGTCAGAATGTGCCAGAACGTGTCGGTGTCTGACACGTGTCCGACACTCATTTTTCCTCAGATTTCACGTATCGGTGCTTTGGAGGTCCAAAGAGAAGTCTGTTGAACCATAATCTTGTTGGTCAAACTTCTGTGACCGAAGTCTCTATTGGAAGTAGGAAAGTTTTTCCCCTTGACCATTTTGCCGAAGTTTATTGATTCATTGATCCATATTTTGAATCCATGGATTTTTGTCGATCCGTGTTTCGGATTTATTTTTTCTTATTTTGTTCTTTCTTCGGTGCCAGGCTTCATTAGCCAGGTATCGTGTATGCTGTTTCAACATTCGTCCCTCAACCTTTTTGGTCGAGGTACGTAGCTCGGATTAGTTGACCAGTTTTTTTGACTGTCTTACCGAGATCTTGACTTATGGGGATTGTTGTTTTCCTTTTTTAATTTTGGTTGCATTCCTACACTAGCCCCCCCGTCCGGCAGTCGGGAAATTCGGGTTGTCGGGCTGTATTACTTTGATTCAAGTATCTTTATGTCGGAATACTGACTTGCTTTTGCAATTTGCCTTTTTTGCTGATTTGAGGATCTTTGAGATCCCTTTTCACTGATGTTGCGGGGTTTTGTTCCCGGTTCTTCGCATATTTTGTTTGCAAAGTTGAATTTCTCCTTGCTATAATTAGCCCAGTTTTATATACTGTAACTTTATTTATTTGAGCTCGACTTTTCCAGAATCTCGTTGTGATACCGTCTTCTGTTTCAACCTGGCTATGCATACCGTGTCTTTCACAGATTTTGACTTGATCAAAATCATTCACCTTTTTGAGTCCAACTTGCATTGCCGTGACGTTCAGATGATTTTGCCTTTATACTCGCATCTTGAGTTTTATGCCTCCCTGATAACTTAGATATATTTTTCTAAGTATTCGAGGTTCATCAGATTCCAGAGTTGCCTGAAGTATTCGTTAAATACTTCTAAGGACTTAGCATTCTCTTGATTTTGATAAACAAGCTTGTATCCTTGTTATCTAGGTTTGTAACTTAGACAATTTTCTAAGAATATCAAACCTTACTCGAGTTGTTCCTCATCCGAGACGGGTTATTTTTACAACTCGAATAAATTCTTATTTCGCAACTCGTGCATTTTACGAGTTCCGGTATATTGACCTGGCTGAGGTCAAAGCATTATACGAATTTCGCTTTTTGTCACTCTCCATGACACATGTTTGTTTTAACTTCACGTTTTGTCAAGTCAACATTGATGAAGGTGATCATTGTCGCCTCCAATCATGACCTGGGTTTCGTAACCCGGTACTATCCAAGGTAAAGGCAGTATTGTCACATGTCCCACTTGGATCTTTCAACCTTAGTACGGAGCATTTCGACTTGATCAGAGTCAGCATGAGAAATTGCGCTTGTATCTCAAATCTTATGTTGATGCATCATAAACACAAGGATTCATATTTACGAAGGTATCTACTTTTTCCCTCGTTTTACTTTAACCCGGATTCGTATACCGTGATTTTATAATATTCAACTCGGCTTTTTCCCTGAGTTTTAATTTCAAAGGCGTCATGATGACTTGATTATTGTCGCTTCAATCTGCCTTCTTGAATCTTAGTTCAGTTTGGAGTACGGAAGCGTCCTCCTGCTTTCCCTGAATCAGGCTTGATGTCGCATGCATGCATTATTCTTATATTTGAACCTGGATTGCAATCCGTCTTCCAGTTTATATCCTGGATTTATATGTATCCCGGATTGGATCTCGCCATATCCGTCTTCATTTTATTTCTGACTTGTACCTCAGATCTTTATTTCTATCTTGGATTGGATCTCGCCATATCCTTCTTCAACTTGGATTGGATTGGAGCTCGCCATATCCATCTCCATTTACCTCCTATTTGTATCTCAGATTTTTTGTTTAATTAACCATTTCTATCCCGGAAGGCCGGTCTTTATCTCGGATTTAAGTGCAATCTTGTCGTAAGGATTGCAATCCGCCTTTATATTTCAGATTGGGGTGCAAAGATCACATCTCTCCAACCCTGTCTTTATTCTTTATCTCGGATCCCGATGTTGTGATCAGAATGCTTTTGATCTCTGAATTTAGTGTCAAAAGCTTTTGGAACTCAGCTACATGGCCAGTTTGCTTAATTATTGAGGGCTATGGCCCTATTGCTGTTTCTTTGCTATAACATCTCAAGGAGGAATGAATTTGTTAGATCATCATTTTATGATCTTTCATACATGAGGCATGCTGACTGCCCAAATTTCCTTTAGATGTCATGAAATTATGAAGATAATACACTTGCAAATGGGCTTCGCCCATTAATTATTAGTGTGCTCATATCATTATCACAAGTCAATATTTCAAATATGCTGATAAAAATATAGATGTTGGCTATCTGACCGTTGGTGCAAGTTTCAGTTCACCTGGCCTATAATTTCTTGTTGGTCAACTTTATATTTGCTAGACGTCACATCTGTTTGAGTGCTAGTTGGTTGGCCTTGCAGATGCCAGGGCCCTTGGTCGGGTTCTGATGCAGTACAAAAGGAGAATAACGAGTTTAAGAGAATAACTCGTTCAGCTACAGGGTGTCAACCCAAGTTACCTGCATGGCGAAAGGATTTCGTTTAAGAAGTTAGTTCCATAAGTTCAGGGAAGGAGGTTAGGGAGTTAGTTGTATGTAGAAGTTCTTTTATACCTTCTACTATGTTACATGTATTCTTGATCTTTCTCTCTCTGAGATTGCATCATTGGTGCTTTCATTGTTCTTGAACTCCGCCTCCATGCGAGTACAAGATTTAGCTGAAGAATTGGCGAACACCCGTGCTGAGATACATCAGCACATCAACCAGTTGACTGAATCAATGGAAAATCGTCTCACAAACTTCTTTGAGTTACGATTCAATGCCATTGATGCAAGAATTCGTGATCTGTCACCACAAACGATGCCTCAATCACCTGTTGTGAATAATAGTCATCAA